ATTATTTTGAGTGAATAATAAAACTTGTAATTATTAGATTGAACTTTTGCATGATCTGAATAATAAGAGACCTCAGAGGGTGTTTTCCACCTTAGCTACACCCTCCTTCATCACCATAATTTTAAAGATCACACACATGTACGTGCCTTACCCAACAGCTAAAACTTGTTGGTCAGGGCTGACTTGTAGAGCAGTCACCTCATGTTTGTCACCCTTGAGCATAGCAACCTGTTAAATTTTAATTTTGCAAAAACAAACAACAAAGTAAAGTTTTACAAAAAAGATTATACGTCACTGGAGGCCTAAGAAAAAATTAATAGAGTGGTTTTCGTTTGAGTGTCGTAAAACCAAAACCAAAGTAATTACTCTGGCCAATCACATAGGACACAGACAATACATTGAACCAATCAAAACTCGAAGTAATTACATGTGGCTGACGCAAAGCGCGGGAAAATGCATGCGAGCGCGTCACAATTGGCTTTGGTTTTACTCCTGATTGGATGAAAAGGTGGTGCGAATCTTTTAAGCCAATCGCATCGTGTAGAAAGTGCAAAACCAATTACTTTTCGACACTCAAATGAAAACCGCTCTAAGAGGTAATTAGTAAATATAAAATGAAGATTTTTTTAAGAAATTAGAAGAAACTGGACGTCAGATCAAAATTGTATTGACTTTGAAACTGCATTTTTCTCAAACTGTGATACTGTGACACCAATGGCATCATAATGTGGTTTGAAAAATGAGAAAAGGTTGAAACGTGTATTCCAATTTTGTTGAAGTGAGCTTAAATTAGGAACATACCGTTATTGTGATTTGTTGTATAGCCCACAAAGAATAGGTATATTTTAAACTTGACCCTCTTAATACGGACATCCTAATAAAACCGACACTTTGTACGGTCGACTCAGTGTCTTTTTTAACGGGGTTCGACTGCATCTTGGCCGATCTAGGACTTCAAACTTATTCAAAATACTTGCCTTTTCACCTCTCCTGACATCCCAAACAATGACGCTCTCAAGCGCCGGGCATGCTGCATATTGGATGACTTGCTCCTTTGAGTTGCTAGTCCTTTTCCTGATGAAGACAACGTTGGCCTTTAGACTGCAAACAACACCAAAACAAGCGGATTGTACATATCTGAGGTAAGCTTTAGTCAACACCATAGTTATTTTTTTCCACGTGAAGTTTTGCTTTGGCGGTCTTTGTAACCTCTCCTAAGTCTGGAAAGAATCAACTCGTTCCAGGGATCACGGACGAAGGACGGGGTTACACAGCCGTACTTTTTGACGCGAAAGCGCGGGAAACAACTGGTAGCTGCAGCCAGCGACAGTCGCAGCCAGCTTCAAGCTTACCTGGGGCTTACCTGACATCAGGCTCTATTTTCGTTTCGCTTTCAAAATTACATTCCGGCGGGCAAGGCGTAGCCGTTAGAGAGAATGTATGAGAACCGCTAAAATTGGGCCTGATCTCAGGTTAGCTTCAAGCTGGCCGAAAAAAACCTTTTTGACTTTTTCAACGTTTCCACAGTTATTAGAAGAACCTGTGTCACGAGATTTAGAAAAATTCAAACAGTGGTACACAGCAAATACAAGAAGAAGCACGGATGGACGGATTGGCGGAAATCGATTGCAATACAGTCGAACCCTCTGTCCACACTTGGGGTCCACTTGGGGACAGAAGAAAGTGGCCCTTGAGGAGTGGCTGTTATGGGCAGGTAGGGGTGTAATATGAAAAGTAGTACCACATGTTTATTGTGCTAAGTTCATGCTTACTGTGTTCCATAATGGTAATCCAATCATATATAATATATAGAGGTAAAATACGACCTCAGTCGTCCCAAGGTGAAAAGCGCCCTGGGGCCCGTTTCTCGAAAGCCCCGGTAACGTTTCGGGCCCGAAATCAAATTTTCAAATCGAAATATAAAGAATAAGAGCGCGGGTTCTGGCTTGCAAACAACTCCATTTTGTTTCATTAACTGATAGTTTTATCATGTTAGATGCAAAACTATTGAAACCTTTACCTTGCATGTAAACAACAACAGCTTTACGGGCCCGTTAATTATCGGGACTTTCGAGAAACGGGCCCCTGGGGACGAGGTTAGAAGTGATCGTCTGAAAGTCTGAAAGTCAGGCTACTTCTGGAAGGAGATATCTAAGTTTTCGATATAAAGTGCCGGCCCTGGCCTGTGAGCCTTGTCCTAAGCATTGCACCGACAAGTCACTGCGCTTTTTTGAGTAAATAAGGAAAGTTCCATAACTGGGCTTTGTAACGTACACAGCTGTAAGAAGTCCTTTAATTTTACAAGTAAAATAAAAGGCCTTGTACCGCGGGAAACTGAGCCAAGGGTCAAAAATGTAACAGCATTTAATTACTGGGTGACAAACTTGGGTTTTATTTAATAAAATCTATTAATGTTTTTTTTTTTCTTTAACAACAACAATAATCAAAGTGGAAAATTAGAAAAACCGCCAAATTTCTGAACCAAATTACGTCGGACATACATTACATCGTAATTAAATTACATTGAAAGATTTCGAGATGCATATCATTTCCATCTGATACAGAAGCATATGTAACCCTGTTCAGGGTTATACGCCGTAGCCACCAGCGACTAAATTTTTGCTTGGGTCTCTAGAAAGACGACCGAAACAGGAAAACAGCATAAAAAGCCTCTGGCACCCAGAGTACTAGTCACAATTCCTACGTATACCTCTGTCAGACAAATATCTAGGATGGCCCGACCGCTCTTTAATAATTTTCTTTGCCTCTACGAGGCAGACACCTCTCTATTAAAGGTTAAATTTAGACAGTACAATTTTTGCTTGCGACTATCTTGCGTGACTAGCGCACGTGAAGACTTCACGACAGGGCGGACCCACGATTACCCATGACATTCGTACGACGCATGTGGATGTCGTAAGTGAGAACTGTGCGCGTGTGGATGGTGCGACTTAGAACCTGTAAGGCTAAAATCTGCCAGTTAAGCCCCCTCTATAGAAGCCCCTGTTTAGCCCAAAATGTAAAACAAATTCTTATCAGTTTCTAAAATCTATACAAAACATTTTGTACACTTGGGCAAATAAGTCAACATTCAGCATCCTCTATGGAGACATAGCTGCCTTATCACTCCAATTTGCGATGTAAATGCCAATGTTTAAAATTAACCAAAATTGTTTGATACAATAACAATAGATGTACGTTAAGTTCTGAAGTAGGACTTCAAATTTCTTGAGGTCAATGCATTAGTTTTTCATTTTATGGTCATTTTTTACATAACTTCTAATTTTGGTAAAATAATGCAAATTTAAAATAAGGAATAAGCTGAACCACCAAATACTCTTAGCTATACCGTACTTTTTTTCTTCAGAATATAAGAACCTAAATAACCTAAACTTGTGCTAACTACTATAATATAAGAACCTGTTTAGGCTAACTTCGAAAAATCCAGGTTCTTGGTTGCGGGGTTTTACTTTTACCTTGCGGCAAACTTCTCTTTTTGAAACCAATGAGTTGTTGCGGAATTGAAAATGATTTGTAAAATTTAATAAACCAGTTTTATCATGAGTGTTATTTCACTTGTAAGACAGAAACAAAAATACCATATTTCCATCCAGTGACAATGACCATCACTATTTGTATTGCTCCCAAAGGGTGCAATCAATTCAAAATAATCATTTCTTCCCCAGAAGTTGAAAACCCAATATGAATAATATTTTTACAATTCATATCAAACTCTGAAAGCTTACAGTCAAATAATGACCTAAAAATACTAATAACAGACCCATGCAACGTAGAATTTTGTTCCCTATCTATGGAGTCATTGAATGGAAACAAGCTATGGTGTGACCATTCAAATGAAACTTGTTCAACAGTAATCTCAATGTTTGGTAATAAGTCAATGTCAATTACCTGACTCAACCTTACCACCATGAGAGAGGGAAGAGAAATAATCGTAACATTCCAATGTGAATTATTACTTTCATTTCTTTTCCTTTCTCTCATTGACATAAATATCTCAAACTACTTTCTCAAATAATCTGAGGTTAAACCAAAACTTTGCTAGCATTTTTTTTCTAGATGAAACTGGCCTGTATTAGCTTGAAGCTGCATTATGGCTTATTAACACCGGATTGTCCACAACTCAATTATCTGCCAAAGCAGTTACTATACACTTAAGTTATGTGGAATACGCCTAAGACCCTTTCATTGAACAAATAGAACAATAATACTGTCTTAACAGAACAGAAAACAACAGCTATAGCAACATTTTTCAGGAACATCAAGAAACCACAAAAAGTCTTCTACAGACCAAAGCAATAATAGACACTGCTAACAACCAAAGAAAAATTAGCGAGAACATTCCGCTTTGTGATATACGCGGTTGAGTGTTAACAACAACAGAATGAGTCTGTGGTACACCTCCTGCAACAGATGCAGGCTGGGTATTTTGAGTTGGAAAAGACTGATTGGTAGCAGTTCTCTGACGAATACCACCAGCTCCTGCATTAACACTACTGTTCTGATTGGTTGCTGGAGCACTTCCAGCCTGACTTGATGAGACGGTATTGTGACTAGTCACTGGACCTGCATACGATGCATAACCCTGTGCAGCTGAGGGATTTGCAGTCATCATGTTGTACATTGGGTACCCTGTGGCATAGTAAGGGTAAGCTGATTGATATGCAGCATAGTATTGAGGAGGCACACCCATTGAATGAACACCCCATGGTGAAGCTCCAGTAGGTGANCTCAAATAATCTGAGGTTAAACCAAAACTTTGCTAGCATTTTTTTTCTAGATGAAACTGGCCTGTATTAGCTTGAAGCTGCATTATGGCTTATTAACACCGGATTGTCCACAACTCAATTATCTGCCAAAGCAGTTACTATACACTTAAGTTATGTGGAATACGCCTAAGACCCTTTCATTGAACAAATAGAACAATAATACTGTCTTAACAGAACAGAAAACAACAGCTATAGCAACATTTTTCAGGAACATCAAGAAACCACAAAAAGTCTTCTACAGACCAAAGCAATAATAGACACTGCTAACAACCAAAGAAAAATTAGCGAGAACATTCCGCTTTGTGATATACGCGGTTGAGTGTTAACAACAACAGAATGAGTCTGTGGTACACCTCCTGCAACAGATGCAGGCTGGGTATTTTGAGTTGGAAAAGACTGATTGGTAGCAGTTCTCTGACGAATACCACCAGCTCCTGCATTAACACTACTGTTCTGATTGGTTGCTGGAGCACTTCCAGCCTGACTTGATGAGACGGTATTGTGACTAGTCACTGGACCTGCATACGATGCATAACCCTGTGCAGCTGAGGGATTTGCAGTCATCATGTTGTACATTGGGTACCCTGTGGCATAGTAAGGGTAAGCTGATTGATATGCAGCATAGTATTGAGGAGGCACACCCATTGAATGAACACCCCATGGTGAAGCTCCAGTGGGCGATTCTGCCGTAGAGTTCACTTGACTTGGTGTTGAAGTCTGTGGTTGGCTAGTCCCACTGCCAGAAGTTGGTGTTTCCGTCCTTTCACCTGTTGCTTTTTCCTTTTCATTCTCTCCCTGTAAGAAAGTAATAATGATAAGTATGATCTTAATTTCACTCCTTGGAGAGTGTTTTGGCACGATATTAACTTTTAGATCTGTGCACAAAAACCTATTCATACAATGTAATACCCTGGGTACCAGAGGTTCTTTCTTACGTGTGCTTGCTGCCGGCCAACAAATCTTCAGCCAAAGGCTAAAACCGCAATCAGGTGACACTATAAAGACCAGAAACCAGACCGAAACCCAGAAACCATGCATGAAAAGTCTCCAGCAGCTAGGGTAATAATGTAAGCAATCAAAAACCTCTTCAGTAGAACTTTTATATTTTAGTTCCTTTAGATAATTACAGAATTTGACAAGTGGCAATGTAAGGAGTTAAAAGAATCCCCCTTTGGATTCTAAGCATAAAATATGCCAAGTAACAGTACCTTAAAAGTGATCTGTGCTGCTAACTCAGCTGCTTCCTTCTCAGCTTCTTTACTTGATTCGCCTACAAAACAAAATAATTGCAAAATTAGACAAAATGTCTATACTTCACCTGTGGCTTAAGAATAAGCTACGAGACAAAAGGTAACTTGAAGATGACGTTTCAGCCTAAAATGATTAATGCAGACACTTCTAGTAAAGAGTAAGACACTTCAAGTAAAGAGGTCAAGATCTCTATAGCTATGACAGAAAGTTAACTCAAGGTTTTTTTGCAAAAAAAAGTTGCTCAGGGTTGTGGAGAGGTGGCTGATAGCAGAGGTTACAATGTATTTTAAAACTTCTGTAGGCAGGTGTGAGCTGCAGTACAAAACCATGCAGTTTGCTACATACATCAGTACTACAGGTACCTACAGGTACTAACAGTTACCAAAAATTTATTGACTGAGAGCAAAAAAATATAGATTCCCAGCTGATCTGACTCTAAAAAAATTTCTTTTGAATATTAATAGGCACAACATTGTTTTGGGGGGAGGGAGTGGGGGAGGGATGGTTGATTTCTTTCCCTTTGAAGTATTGAGTGGGAAGTGCCCCTTAGGGAATTGTTTCTCAAATAATTTTTAAAACCAGATATAGGTATATAAACACAGCTATATCATCTTCAATCATCAAATTATGGTTAGAACCTGCCTACCAGTGGTTTCTAGTAAAACAGTCTTTATACACACATCACAGCCATTACATTTCCAGTCTATTGATCTAGAATGAAAAAACACTGTAAGTCTCACAAGACTACTTTGGAAAAGGAGAAAAAGCTCCTTAGATTTTATCCCTAAACTAATTTTTAAATAATTTTTTTCATTGTTTCTGGAAATGAAACAGAAACTTACAAATTTACTTGTATTTATCAAATTAATGTAGGGGGCAGCAACCACTGATATTTGAGAATTAAATTGAGAGCAAATTGCCCATGTCTTTAAGTTAAGGACCAGCCATTTTAATCTTTGGAAGCATCAAATACATTTTATGTATTATTTTCTTACTTTGTGAGACCTCTGTCTCCCTAGATCCCAGGGGAGGGGAGGTACTTCCTTATAAGAGGCTAATGGGGATATGCCGCTGGACGGGGGTAGGGGCTCTGAGAGGCCAGAGGCACATACACAGCGAAATATATCCCAAGTAATTCCCGCTAGGCCCTAGATGTGTATGCTCTAAATGCTCATGTGATGTTCTAAAATGTAATTTTCAAGTTGTGGTAGACAGGTAGTTTTAATTATAAATTTAATATAGTACATGCTCCTTACTTTTTAGCCAGGACCTTTCTTTCTTGTGGAGTGTAGTCAAGAGACCCTATTGCTCCTGCACCCTGGGTTGGCATGAATCCAATTATTGCCATAAGCACAGTACGAACTGTCAATAAGAACACACCCATAACAACAAATTTTGTATTATTACCCTCCCTCAGAGAATGTCTCTTCGCAGCAGTAAATTTGGATGGCACCATCTATCTTCAATTTTCCAAAATTTTGCATACATTAAACTGTTTTTTTTAAAGTAAATTTTGGTTGAAAGTGACAGTTATCATTATCTTCACTTAACAGTCAGTATAATTCCTTATGGCTGCACTTAATACACAGCCTTACTCACTGCACTGTCCTTCACTTCTCCATTTTTTTCATTTTCTGTAACAATAACCACTCAATCATCCAACACCAAATCTCAAAATTTGGCCAGGCCAGCTTAACCCATTCTCCCTGAACTGCCTGTAACCGCCCATGCAGATCCTAAAAGCTTTCCTAATCACTTTTCCCACCAAAATGCAGCCTACAGAATGCCCAGCAAAGGAAAATCATGACTCAGGCAAGAAATGCAAAAGAAGAGGGAGGAAGAGAAGAAAAAAAATAGGTCTGCTGTGTCACTTTTAAACCCAAAATTGGAGAAATTATCTCAAAATTTTGCTTTTTACACATGCCCGAGCTTTGGAAGCTAATATTTTGCATCTGGATCAAAAGGCCACCAAGAGTATGACCTGCATGTAAACAGCTTTGTGGTAAGTTTTAACTCTTTATAGCCAGACAGAGACCAGAAAACAGCTGGACTAGCTTAAAATGCAGTTTTTCAGAAAAAAATTCCCCGGAGTGAATGGGTTAAGTCTTTTAGTCAAACACTTGAGTTTCAAGCACAGTATACAGTCACGATTTCAGGACACTTACTGCTCCATGATGGCTGCCAAGTTTCAGGATGATGTGCTGACATGCTAAGGCAAATTTTCTTCCCAACTTCAAACCGACCATTTGGCTGAAGACAAGAAGAGGGAATAATTTGGATTTGCAGTCATCATGTTGTACATTGGGTACCCTGTGGCATAGTAAGGGTAAGCTGATTGATATGCAGCATAGTATTGAGGAGGCACACCCATTGAATGAACACCCCATGGTGAAGCTCCAGTGGGCGATTCTGCCGTAGAGTTCACTTGACTTGGTGTTGAAGTCTGTGGTTGGCTAGTCCCACTGCCAGAAGTTGGTGTTTCCGTCCTTTCACCTGTTGCTTTTTCCTTTTCATTCTCTCCCTGTAAGAAAGTAATAATGATAAGTATGATCTTAATTTCACTCCTTGGAGAGTGTTTTGGCACGATATTAACTTTTAGATCTGTGCACAAAAACCTATTCATACAATGTAATACCCTGGGTACCAGAGGTTCTTTCTTACGTGTGCTTGCTGCCGGCCAACAAATCTTCAGCCAAAGGCTAAAACCGCAATCAGGTGACACTATAAAGACCAGAAACCAGACCGAAACCCAGAAACCATGCATGAAAAGTCTCCAGCAGCTAGGGTAATAATGTAAGCAATCAAAAACCTCTTCAGTAGAACTTTTATATTTTAGTTCCTTTAGATAATTACAGAATTTGACAAGTGGCAATGTAAGGAGTTAAAAGAATCCCCCTTTGGATTCTAAGCATAAAATATGCCAAGTAACAGTACCTTAAAAGTGATCTGTGCTGCTAACTCAGCTGCTTCCTTCTCAGCTTCTTTACTTGATTCGCCTACAAAACAAAATAATTGCAAAATTAGACAAAATGTCTATACTTCACCTGTGGCTTAAGAATAAGCTACGAGACAAAAGGTAACTTGAAGATGACGTTTCAGCCTAAAATGATTAATGCAGACACTTCTAGTAAAGAGTAAGACACTTCAAGTAAAGAGGTCAAGATCTCTATAGCTATGACAGAAAGTTAACTCAAGGTTTTTTTGCAAAAAAAAGTTGCTCAGGGTTGTGGAGAGGTGGCTGATAGCAGAGGTTACAATGTATTTTAAAACTTCTGTAGGCAGGTGTGAGCTGCAGTACAAAACCATGCAGTTTGCTACATACATCAGTACTACAGGTACCTACAGGTACTAACAGTTACCAAAAATTTATTGACTGAGAGCAAAAAAATATAGATTCCCAGCTGATCTGACTCTAAAAAAATTTCTTTTGAATATTAATAGGCACAACATTGTTTTGGGGGGAGGGAGTGGGGGAGGGATGGTTGATTTCTTTCCCTTTGAAGTATTGAGTGGGAAGTGCCCCTTAGGGAATTGTTTCTCAAATAATTTTTAAAACCAGATATAGGTATATAAACACAGCTATATCATCTTCAATCATCAAATTATGGTTAGAACCTGCCTACCAGTGGTTTCTAGTAAAACAGTCTTTATACACACATCACAGCCATTACATTTCCAGTCTATTGATCTAGAATGAAAAAACACTGTAAGTCTCACAAGACTACTTTGGAAAAGGAGAAAAAGCTCCTTAGATTTTATCCCTAAACTAATTTTTAAATAATTTTTTTCATTGTTTCTGGAAATGAAACAGAAACTTACAAATTTACTTGTATTTATCAAATTAATGTAGGGGGCAGCAACCACTGATATTTGAGAATTAAATTGAGAGCAAATTGCCCATGTCTTTAAGTTAAGGACCAGCCATTTTAATCTTTGGAAGCATCAAATACATTTTATGTATTATTTTCTTACTTTGTGAGACCTCTGTCTCCCTAGATCCCAGGGGAGGGGAGGTACTTCCTTATAAGAGGCTAATGGGGATATGCCGCTGGACGGGGGTAGGGGCTCTGAGAGGCCAGAGGCACATACACAGCGAAATATATCCCAAGTAATTCCCGCTAGGCCCTAGATGTGTATGCTCTAAATGCTCATGTGATGTTCTAAAATGTAATTTTCAAGTTGTGGTAGACAGGTAGTTTTAATTATAAATTTAATATAGTACATGCTCCTTACTTTTTAGCCAGGACCTTTCTTTCTTGTGGAGTGTAGTCAAGAGACCCTATTGCTCCTGCACCCTGGGTTGGCATGAATCCAATTATTGCCATAATGGATTTGCAGTCATCATGTTGTACATTGGGTACCCTGTGGCATAGTAAGGGTAAGCTGATTGATATGCAGCATAGTATTGAGGAGGCACACCCATTGAATGAACACCCCATGGTGAAGCTCCAGTAGGTGAGCCTGCCGTAGAGTTCACTTGACTTGGTGTTGAAGTCTGTGGTTGGCTAGTCCCACTGCCAGAAGTTGGTGTTTCTGTCCTTTCACCTGTTGCTTTTTCCTTTTCATTCTCTCCCTGTAAGGAGGTAATTATGATAAGTATGATCTTAATTTCACTCCTTGGAGAGTGTTTTGGCACGATATTTAACAATTATTCCTCAAGCCCAAATGGGCTCTGAGTCATAGCCCATGAGACCGAAGGCTGAATGGGCTATTGACTCAGAGGCCATGAGGGGGAGAGGAGTAATTGTTAAATATCGTGCCAACTAGCTGGATTTTACTAAAACAATTATTGTTTTAGTAAAATCCAACTAGTTGGGCGAAAATTTCGAGAATACAAAAATTTAAGCTAATTAAAGCTAGACTTTAATCTTTTTTTGCCGCCAAAAGGCCGTGCTTTTCGCTACTAGTGGACTATAACATATAGCCTAGTAGTAGCTCAACCAATCAGAACGCAGAATTGATAAAGACCACTAGTTGGATTTTACTAATAACTTTTAGCTCTGTGCACAAAAACCTATTCATGCAATGTAATACCCTAGGTACCAGAGGTTTTTTCTTGCATGCGGTCCATGTAGGATGCTTCGGTGTTGGCTGCAGGCCAACACATCTTCGGCCAAAGGCTAAAACCACAATCGGGTGACACTATTTAAAGACTTACGGAAACCCAAAAACCATGCATGAAAAGTCTACAGCAGCTAGGGTAATAATGTAAGCAATCAAAAACCTCTTCAGTAGAACTTTTATATTTTAGTTCCTTTAGATAGTATTTCACAAATCAAAATGACTGATTTTTACGGAATTTTGACTTTGGCCACTAGTGGTGATGTAAGGAGTTGAAAGAATCCCCCTTTGGATTCTAGGCATGAAATATGCCAAGTAACAGTACCTTAAAGGTGATCTGTGCTGCTAACTCAGCTGCTTCCTTCTCAGCTTCTTCACTTGATTCACCTGTAAAACAAAATAATTACAAAATTAGACAAAATGTCTTCACCTGTGACGTAAGAATAAGCTACAAGACAAAAGGTAACTTGAAGATGACATTTCAGCCTAAAATGATTAATGCAGACATTTGTCAAGTTAAGAGGTCAAGATCTCTATAGCTGCGACATAAAGTTAACTAAGATTTTTTTGCAAAAAAAAGTTGCTCAGGGTTGTGGAGAGGTGGCTGATAGCAGAGGTTACAATGTATTTTAAAACTTCTGTAGGCAGGTGTGAGCTGCAGTACAAAACCATGCAGTTTGCTACATATATCAGTACTACAAGTACCTACAGGTACTATCAGTTACCCAAAATTTATTGACTAAGAGCAAAAAAATATAGATTCCCAGCTGATCTGACTCTTCAAAAATTTCTTTTCAATATCAGTAGGCACAACATTGTTTGGGGGGGGGGAGTGGGGGAGGGATGGTTGATTTTTTTCCCTTTGAAGTATTGAGTGGGAAGTGTCCCTTATGGAATTGTGTCTCAAGTAATTTTTAAAACCAAATATAGGTATATAAACAGGGCTATATCATCTTCAATCATCAAATTATGGTTAGAACCTGCCTACCAGTGGTTTCTAGTAAAACGGTCTTTATACACACATCACAGCCATTACATTTCCAGTCTATTGATCTAGAATGAAAAAACATTGTACGTCTCACAAGACTACTTTGGAAAAGGAGAAAAAGCTCCTTAGATTTTATCCCTAAACTAATTATTGAATAATTTTTTTTCATTGTTTCCGGAAATGAAACAGAAACTTACAAGTTTTACTGGTATTTATCAAATTAATGTAGGGGGCAGCAACCACTGATATTTGAGAATTAAATTGAGAGCAAATTGCCCATGACTTTAAAGGGAACTTTTTTAAGTTAAGGACAGCCATTTTAATCTTTGGAAGCATCAAATACATTTTATGCATTATTTTCTTACTTTGTGAGACCTCTGTCTCCCTAGATCCCAGGGGAGGGGAGGTACTTCCTTATAAGAGGTTAATGGGGATGTGCCGCTGGATAGGGTAGGGGCTCTGAGAGGCCAGAGACACATAAGCAGCAAAAATTAACCCAAGTAACTCCCGCTGGGCCCTAGATGTGTATGCTCTAAATGCTCATGTCATGTTCTAAAATGTCATTTTCAAGTTGTGGTAGACAGGTAGTTTTAATTATAAATTTTAATTTTAATTATAAATTTAATATAGTACATGCTCCTTACTTTTTAGCCAGGACCTTTCTTTCTTGTGGAGTGTAGTCAAGAGACCCTATTGCTCCTGCACCCTGGGTTGGCATGAATCCAATTATTGCCATAAGCACAGTACGAACTGTCAATAACAACAAACCAAAACAACAAATTATGTATTATTACCCTCCCTCAGAGAATGTCTCTTCGCAGCAGTAAATTTGGATGGCACAGTCTATCTTCAATTTTCCAAAATTTTGCATAATATGCAAAATTTTGGTTTAACATATTATGTTAAACTGTTTTTTTTTTCAAGTAAATTTTGGTTGAAAGTGACAGTTATCATTATCTTCACTTAACAGTCGGTATAATTCCTTATGGCTGCACTTAATACACAGCCTTACTCACTGCACTCTCCTTCACTTCTCCATTTTTTTCATTTTCTGTAACAATAACCACTCAAATCATCCAACACCAAATCTCAAAATCTGGCCCGGCCAGCTTAACCCATTCTCCCTGAACTGCCTGTAACCGCCCATGCAGATCCTAAAAGCTTTCCTAATAACTTTTCCCACCAAAACGAAGCCAACAGAATGCCCAGCAAAGGAAAAAAAAATGACTCAGGCAAGAAAAGCGAAAGAAGAGGGAGGAAGAGAAGAAAAAAAATGGGACTGCTGTGTCACTTTTAAACCCAAAATTGGAGAAATTATCTCAAAATTTTGCTTTTTACACATGCCTGAGCTTTGGAAGCTAATATTTTGCATCTGGAACAAAAGGCCGCCAAGAGTATGACCTGCATGTAAACAGCTTTGTGGTAAGTTTTAACTCTTTATAGCCAGACAGAGACCAGAAAACAGCTGGACTAGCTTCAAAATGCAGTTTTTCAGAAAAAAATTCCCCGGAGTGAATGGGTTAAGTCTTTTAGTCAAACACTTGAGTTTCAAGCACAGTATACATATTTCACGATTTCAGGACACTTACTGCTCCATGATGGCTGCCAAGTTTCAGGATGATGTGCTGACATGCTAAGGCAAATTTTCTTCCCAACTTCAAACCGACCATTTGGCTGAAGACAAGAAGAGGGAATAATTTATAACTTTCAACCATAAGTGACCAAGAAAAAAAATAAATTTTAAACAAAGTTGGGGTATGGTTAGCTGTTTGTAGCAAAATTTAAGAACATAGTATTTTCATTCAAGGATTTAAATTTACATTCAACAAATAAACATTCATTCAACTTCAATGCCATGTACTTTCATTCAACACAAATATTCATTCAACTTCAACTCAAACTATTTTCATTCAACAAAAAAATATCCAGTCAACTTCAACTCAAACCATTCTTCTTCAACACAAATATTCACACATAATTTCTGCAGTCCTGCATTTCTCAAACATCATTTCGTGGGCAATTAACCATTTGTGGCATCGTTAAATGTCAATATTCACCTCCCCTGTGGGAAACAGTTGTATACTCAGGACTATCATTAGTTGCTGGCTACTGCAATAAAATCACTGAGCTGTCTATTGTAGATTTTAAATTGAGTCAAACATAAAAAAAGAGGAGGATTTGTGGGGTGAATGCCTGGCTACTTTTCCGGAGAGACCAGCCACTGAAAGCCCTGTATACCATTGACTCTAAGAGAGGGAACAGAATAAGTAAGTTTTAATTTAAGACTCACAGTTAATAACATGATACTGGGTGGCTTCATGGGGTACTCAGGAGGCAATGTTATTCTACCATGGTAACGTCCACCTGCAAAATCGCTGTCAGGGGGGCCACGCACAGTGAAATGCCACTCAAACAAATTATCCTGCCAATCAACAACATATTTTGAGTAACCACCTGTGTAGACATATCTTTGTAAATCGTTCTGACCATATTGTGGTTCAGTTATATCCTTAATGCAAATTTAATTTTTCTTTAGGTTGCCCTTCTTATATGGTAATTACTGAGATGATAATGACTTTCAAGTAAGAAAGATATTATTTTCACTAGGATTACAGGGTTAATCCACAACATCTATCATACAACATTCTTTGATGATGCAATATTTAACTACAGAACTTTGGTGTGTTTGAAGCTATGCAGGAATTAAAGAAAAACATGAGAGAAAGGATATAAGAGTATAACTATCCCACCAAACTGACCCAGGGTTCCACTTTGCCCAAGCTTGTACCATTAATATTGTTGGTCAGGTCTATTGTAAATAGGTGCTGCACAAGGGATGTTGCTACAGTAAGAGCTGGCTGTCGGCTAATTTGAAAAACGTGTAGTACTGTGTCATTCAGAAATGAAGAAAATTTATGTAACTGCAGCCCCAGAACATAAGCACCACTCTCAATTATTAAGCACCCCACTAAGAAGTAAGAAAAAATTACTGCCCATTTCATAAGCATGTGAATTCTGAAGTTCAAAAGACAACTGACGATTGCATGTTTCGCTGCCGTCAATCATCTTACCAGACCTCTTAGGAAACAAAACTTCACTTTAACGGGTTCAAAAGGTCATGGTTTGTGATTTATGATTGGTGGATTTCAATCTGTTTTGTGTGTTTCTGTGTTGCAAAGTTTGTTGCTTGTGATCATAATTATGATTGACGGCAGCATAAAACGCAATTGTGAAGGTGGCTTTTGACCTTTAGAGTTCGCATGTTTGTGAAAAGCGCAGTAATAGGCGTGTGTACATTGTAATTAGGCAGTCTTATTTTGGTGCATATACATTTAAAGGATAGATTTTCATGCCTATACAAAAAGCTATCCAGTATAGTATGTGTAGTCCCAATAACATGCAACAACATACAACAGGGTGTGCAAATGGACACAACATATAACATTCAACAATGTTGGGAGTTGCTCAGCACAGAACTGGAACAAGTTGTTCACACACATTGAACATCGAGCTAGGATGATTGACCAAGAGAGTTTGGTGAACTAACTCCCAGTTCTCACTCCCTTGAAACTTCCATCTCAGTGGATTACGGTCCTCACTTCTGTTTATTCATTTCCACTACTGACAGTTCAAATACTGGACAAAAGTGTGGCACAAGACTTATCCAATACGTGATACTTCACTTTCGAGATTGGTGCCACTGAGCTTCACAGCAGCTTTAAGGTACAGTGTCAACATAGCCTAAGATTACAAGTGAACATGGTCCGGTCAAACCTAAGTTCCAGGTCTTAGCATAGTCTGAGCATCTGTCCTGTAGAAATTGTCTCAAACAAGTTTTTTATACTGCCCTGATCTTTTCGTATTGGGTCATTTTTGTTGTTGATGTTGTTGTTCATGAGAGATTTGAATCCTTTAGGGTGTGTTTGATTAGGAAATCTGGATTTAGATTTTAAAATCCCGATTTCAACACTGAGATTATGCTGAGATATCTATTTTGGATTTCCATTTTTACCATTCGATTGGGAAATCTGAAAAAGGATTTGAAAAACTGTCCTTAAGAACAGCGATCTTGCACACGCACGCATAATTAACAAAAAGAACACTGTTTATGAGAACAGTTTTGCAAATCCTTTTTCGGATTTCCCAATTAAACAGAAAAAGGAAATCCATGAAATCCCGATGGATTTCTTAATTGAAATCCACCCTGAGGACGGATTTCTCAGAGGTGAAATCCATTTCCGGATTTCGTGTTCGATTGCAAAATCTGAAATCCGAATTTCAAAATCAACTTCTGGATTTCCCAATTGAACACAACCCTAGTAGCATGTATCTGGATTGTTGCAATCAGGATACTGAACATTTTGCCAGCTACATCAAATTGGGCTAATTGCATTCCCCAGCTGGTCAAGGAACCATTGAATTCTTCAGGGATAAGTTTATAAAGATTGAAGATTTCTTTAGGGGTAGAGTAATAATTATGAAATTCTTTGGGGTGGAGCTTTAATTTTTTCGAAATACTTCATGGGTAGGACCCTTATTCTTCAGGGGTAAACCCATATTTTATGGAAGTCTTCAGGGGTAGATGCAAAAGTATTTTATCTTCAGGAGAAAGAACAAAAGGTAGGTCCTCAACCGGGGGGGGGGGGGTACAGATATTAAATGCAATAGCCCATTCTGCAACCTTTTCAGATTACCTGTGTATTTATAAGCTCATTATCAGCTTGTGTGAAGTGTAGAATGACGGGAACTGCTTACCTCCAAAGGCTGGGCAAAATACAGCTCTGTCGTGATTTCAGGACACTTACTGCTCCATGATGGCTGCCAAGTTTCAGGATGATGTGCTGACATGCTAAGGCAAATTTTCTTCCCAACTTCAAACCGACCATTTGGCTGAAGACAAGAAGAGGGAATAATTTATAGCTTTCAACCATAAGTGACCAAGAAAAAAAATAAATTTTAAACAAAGTTGGGATATGGTTAGCCGTTTGTAGCAAAATTCAAGAACATAGTATTTTCATTCAAGGATTTATATTTGCATTCAACAAATAAACATTCATTCAACTTCAATGCTATGTACTTTAATTCAACACAAATATTCATTCAACTTCAACTCAAACTATTTTTCTTCAACACAAATATTCATTCAACTTCAACTCAAACTATTTTTCTTCAACACAAATATTCATTCAACTTCAACTCAAACTATTTTCATTCAACAAAAAAATATCCAGTCAACTTCAACTCAAACCATTCTTCTTCAACACAAATATTCACACATAATTTCTGCAGTCCACCATTTCTCAAACATTTTCGTGGGCAAACCATTTGTGGCATCGTTAAATGTTGGCTGCTTTTTCAGGCCAATATTCACCTCCCCTGTGGGAAACAGTTGTATACTCAGGACTATCATTAGTAGCTGGCTTCTGCAATAACATTACTGAGCTGTCTATTGTAGATTTTAAATTGAGTCAACCATAAAAAAAGAGGAGGATTTGTAGGGTGAATGCCTGGCTACTTTTCCTGAGAGACCAGCCACTGACAGCCCTGTATACCATTGACTCTAAGAGAGTGAACAGAATAAGTAAGTTTTAATTTAGACTCACAGTTAATAACATGATACTGGGTGGCTTCATGGGGTACTCAGGAGGCAATGTTATTCTACCATGGTAACGTCCACCTGCAAAATCGCTGTCGGGGGGGCCACGCACAGTGAAATGCCACTCAAACAAATTATCCTGCCAATCAACAACATATTTTGAGTAACCAGACCATATTGTGGTTCAGTTCTATCCTTAATGCAAATTAAATTTTTCTTTAGGTTGCCTTTCTTGTATGATGATTACTGAGATGATAATGATATTCAAACAAGCAAGATATAATTTTTACTAGGATTATAGGGTTAATTCATAACATATATCATGCAACATTCTTTGATGATGCAATATTAAACTACAGAACATTGGTAAGTTTGAAGCTAAGCAGGAATTAAAAAAAAAACATGAGAGAAAGGATATAAGAATATAACTATCCCACCAAACTGACCCAGGTTTCCACTTTGCCCAAGTTTGTACAATTAGTTGGTCAGGTCTATTGTAAATAGGTGCTGCACAAGGGATGTTGCTACAGAAAGAGCTGGCTGCAGGCTAATTTGAAAAACATGTAGTACTGTGTCATTCACAAGTGAGAAAATTTATGTAACAGCAGCCCCAGAACATAAGCACCACTCTCAATTAAGCACCCCACTGAAAAGTAAGAAAAAATTACTGCGCATTTCACAAACATGCGAACTTTGAATTTCAAAAGCCAACTGACGATTACATGTTTCGCTGCCATCAATCATCTTAACAGACCTCTTAGGAAACAACTTTACTTTAACGGGTTCAAAAGGTTAAGTGATTGGTGGATTTCAATCTGTTTTGTGTGTTTCTGTGTTTCAAAGTTTGTTGCTTGTGATCGTAATTATGATTGACGGCAGCGAAAACGCAATTGTGCAGGCGGCTTTTGAACTTTAGAGTTCGCATGTTTGTGAAAAGAGCAGTAATAGGCGTGTGTACATTGTAATTAGGCAGTCTGATTTTGGTGCATATAACAGATAGATTTTCATGCCTACACCAAAAGCTATACAGTATAGCATAAAGGTAAAGTTTGACTGGTTTCAAACTTTGCATGACAACATGCAACAGGGTGTGCAAACAGATGCAACATATAACATCCAACAATGCTGGGAGTTGCTACAGCATAGAACTGGAACAAGCTGTTCACACACATAGAACATCAAGCTAGGATGGTTGACCAAGAGAGTTTGGTGAACTAATTCCCAGTTCTCAATCCCTTGAAACTTCCATCTCAGTGGATTACAGTCCTCGCTTCTGTTTATTCATTTCCACTACTGACAGTCCAAATACTGCACAAAAGTGTGGCACAAGACTTATCCAATGTGCGATACTTCACTTTCGAGATTGGTGCCACTGAGCTTCACAGCAGCTTTAAGGTACAGTGTCAACATAGCCTAAGATTACAACTGAACATGGTCCGGTCAAACCTAAGTTCCAGGTCTTAAGCTTAGTCTGAGCATCTGTCCTGCAGGAATTGTCTTAAAACAAGTTTTTTTATACTGCCCTGATCTTTTCGTATTGGGTCATTTTTGTTGTTGATGTTGTTGTTCATGAGAGATTTGAATGCTTTAGCGTGTGTTTGATTGGGAAATCTGTATTTAGATTTTAAAATCCCGATTTCAACACTGAGATCATGCTGCATCATCCATTTTTACCATTCGATTGGGAAATCTGAAAAAGGATTTGAAAAACTGTCCTTAAGAACAGCAGTCTTACAAACGCATGCATAACTAACAAAAAGAACACCACTGTTCATGAGAACAGTTTTGAAAATCCTTTTTCGGATTCCCAATTGAACGGTAAAAAGGAAATCCATGAAATCCCGATTTGGATTTTTAATTGAAATCCACCCTGAGGACGGATTTCTCAGAGGTGAAATCCATTTTCGGATTTCGTGTTCGATTGCAAAATCTTAAATTCAAATTTCAAAATTTAACATCTGGATTTCCCAATTGAACGCAACCCTAGTAGCATGTATCTGGATTGTTGCAATCACGATACTGAACACTTTGCCAGCTACATCAAATTGGGCTAATTGCATTCCCCAGCAGGTCGAGGAACCATTGAATTCTTCAGGGATAAGTTTATAAAGATTGAAGATTTCTTTAGGGGTAGAGTAATAATGATGGAATTCTTTGGGGTGGAGCTTTAATTTTTTCGAAATACTTCATGGGTAGGACCCTTATTCTTCAGGGGTAAACCCATATTTTATGGAAGTCTTCAGGGGTGGATGCAAAAGTATTTTATCTTCAGGAGAAAGAACAAAAGGTAGGTCCTTAACCGGGGGGGGGGGTACAGATATTAAATGCAATAGCCCATTCTGCAAACTTTTCAGATTACCTGTGTATTTATAAGCTCATTATCAGCTTGTGTGAAGTGTAGAATGACGGGAACTGCTTACCTCCAAAGGCTGGGCAAAATACAGCTCTGTCGGTTGACTTAGTTCCTTAGCTTCTCTCATCAAGCGTTTGACGCCTATTTTGGACGAAAATAACCAAAACAACACCTCGAATTACCACATGAATGTACGTCGACAGAAACTTTAGCAGATCTTTTCTTTTTTTCAGAGCTCGTAAGGACGGTTTTTATTCCTCCTCGGATTGACACTTACCTGGACTTCGTAGATTATATTTTGCTTCCATCTCCTAACTGATCAGAAAAGGAAAATTTACTGATGAAACAAAGTAACTTATAGAGAACCTTTCATTTTCACTTCCCAAACAAACTTCCTTCCCCCTGCATACGTGTCGAACACTACGACCAACAAGTCAGCGAACATACTCGACCCAGTCTTCCCGTCGTGTATTTGTCACGCAATGTATCACCCGCAGTCTTGAGCGAAGGTTTTTTCTTTTCTGTTTGCTTTCTCCATGGATAATAGAAAGTCTTTCTATTATCTATGCTTTCTCATTTCTTTTTTACATACTTCATCAGTTTGTCCTTAAACATCCGACGTTCCATTCGCTGGGTGGATAACTGAAATATTTTTGGCACATTTTTTTAGTTTACATCGGCACGTTTTTCAGGCAGCGCCTTATTTTATGATAAATTCTGGGAGAAAATGTTTTTTTCTCAGTGCTATTTTCTTTGTTTTTGGGAGAAACGGTGCGCTATTTGACTTGTATGATCTAGACGGCTGGATATTGGTCGAGCCAATAAAGGCAACCCGAGGCCAAACCAACCTTCTTGACTATAAACAATCTAGTTGATTTACAAACTTTTTTAGTAGTTGGGCCAAAGAAAACTTTTTCTCGCGTCAAGGTGATGTTGCACGGGACGATTCGCAGCGACGATTTTCGGGGCAATCCAGCGTTATAATGTGCTGGAACCGAATGCTGTAACCATTCGAAACATTGTCGCAACAATGTTGCAACGCTGTGTTGCGCTAAAAATCGTCGTTGCGAATCGTCTCGTGTAACATCACCTCAAAGAGCGGGAATTTCGTGCAAGATGGCACTGGCCGGCACATCGCTAACTCAGAACAATTTTATAAAATGATTTGTCTTGATCTTGCCCACCAGCGGAGCCAGCCCTATTACAGGGGGATAGCGCTTTGACCGAAAGGGATACCTTTTCAGGCCTCCGCGCCGATCCGGTATATGAAAGGCAAGGATTTCACAGCTCAAGTATATGAAAGAGGTATGTGAAAGGGTAGGAAAAGCTGTCTCTTCGGTGTCCAAAAAAGCCCAAGAGGCCGAGCTAAAACCAACCTGCGATCAGGCGTTTTCTTTTTCCCTCTTCTCCCAAACAAAAAGGGAAGAAGGACACCTGATCACAGGTTAGACTAAAGGATGCATTTTATGTCTATGAAAAAGTCGAGAAACCTTTCTTGTTTCGTTGTTTATCCATCATTTTCAAAGACAGCGCCTTTACAGCAGTTACTTTCGGTAAAGGGGATGCAAAGTTCTAAACTTGGTTTGTGAAAGGGGTACCATTTGTCAATAAAAGGTATACGAATCGGTACCTTTTCCGTCAAAAATGGTTGTCTAGAATATAATAAAAAGGGTAAGGGGTTGGACCTCGGAGCGGAGCCTCCCCTTATAAAAGTTAGTTGAATATCCCCGCCCCCTCAAGACAATAACACGAAAATTGGCTGTTTCTAATACTGACTTCAGACAGAAAATATTTAAAAGCTGTGAACTATACGTAATAGGCCACTTGCACTAAGAGGTCACGTGACCAATGCTTCCGTTAAACAATGAGTTGGAATCTTGCTGATGCCAAAAATTGACAGAGCACATAAAAATTATCTTACACCCTAAATTTGAGAGGAAACGCATTTAAGGGAGATATTTTATGGCACTTTGATTTTTCAACAAAGTAGTATGATTTGTATTGGCCGCCATGTTGGAGGGCATACTCTTGCCCTCCAACATGGCGGCCAAACCTAGTTTTTGCTTATATCTTGTTAGACATTTGATAGTTACACTTAGATGTGCTGTAAACGTTACCACATCACGTTTTCAACATTTTTCTTGAAGTTTAAGTGAAAAATGTGTGTTCAGAAAGAGGTAATTCGTAATTTTAAAAATCACATTTTGGTCACGTGACCAGATACGAACTTACTTATTGCGGATTTGGAAAACCAAATTCCCATTATTTTGTTTAAGATATGACCCTCTAATCGTTTTCCGAAGGCAAAATCATATAACTTTCATTTTCATAAAAACGATGTCACATGACCTCTTAGTGCAAATGGCCTATTATTATGCAAAATCGCAATTTAGTTTCTGGCAACTTCTTACAAGCACGACTATCAAGTTGCGTTCCATTAAAAATTTTATTTCTTTAACGGCCCCTTGTCATAGAATGTTTTTTGCTATCACCTTAATAGTCTATAGTAGGTGATAAAACGAAAAGATGTCTAGTCAAAGCTCGGTACGAAACCGCGCAGGTTCGCGCGGAAACCAGCGTGTAGCTAGCCTGTTCCAGGCTCCGAGATGGTGGTGGAAAGTCGTTCAGTAATAAGAAATGCGAAAAACGCGCTACCCCCCCCCCCCCTTTCCCAAGTTGTGTGCGTCTTATTTTCGCTTTGCTCGTTTTAATACGTTCCCACTATACTCTCTGAGAGCCTGGCACACGCTAGCGTGTAGCCTGCTCGACAGACGCTCGAAAATCCGGGAGGCTAGCAAACTTCCAGCGAAAACTCGCCTTCTCGTGCTTGCTTTATAAAGACTCGTAGCTCGATTATACCCACTTACAATAACTGCTGGACTATATCAAGCATTTGCACATCCTCGGAGACCCAGGGGCAGTTAGTCGGGTCGATAAAATGTTCGTGGTGAAAGTTTACTGTAAGATCGAGACGAGCCGGCTCGTCTTGCACGAAACAAAAAACGAATAAAATAAATAAAGCAACCAATTAGAGAACTGCTCAGAGCGCGCGCATCCTCTTGTTACGTTCAAGATAATTAGTTAATCACGTGATTCAAATGCCCTTCGCACAAACACGCAGAATTTTATAAGAGAAGCATGTAACAAATAATCAAGTAGTGCGAGCGCTTGCAACATGTTACCAAGTTTATGGAATCAGAGTGGACATTCCTCTATGCTTCACAGGCTTTTGGGTAGTAATGGCAACATGCAGATTTCCACCAACAAAAAATTATCGCCAGAAACAAGAAAAGCGCAGCAGAGGGTTTTAGACTCGATGCTTGATCCTTGTTCCGTTGAAGGAATGGCAGCGATGACAGTTCAAGAGCCATGCAGGTCATCATGTTTCGCCAATCTTCAGAAACTTCGGGCTGAATTATCTAATGAGCCCGCGGTTGCAGCCACAAATAATTTTGGTAAGACAAATAAAATTATTAATGTTAGGCCAACAGAAACTGTTACGGAACAACGGAAAGATAACATCAACACACCAGAACAAGAGAAGGATAGCCGCCCGCTAAAATCTCTTCATTGGAAGGCACTTACTAGGTCCACAACAGAATACAAAAAACAACACAAGTGCGAAGGAAATTCTTGGACCTGTGAGAAATGTAGGCGTGTCAACGAAATAAAGAAGGCCACCGAAAGGTTTGAAGCAAAAAGAGCCGCTAAACAAATACTGCAAGAAAACAGAAGCAACATAAAGGTCCGCAAAGACGCGGAAAGTGACGAAGCTGCAGACAGAGAGCAGAAAATCAAACGAGAAGAGCGATTTTGCAGAATGTCTGCGCCTAATGCGCGAACCGTTGCTCAAAGGTCAAAAACCGCTCCGGTCGAGGGCGTTAGCTTCCTTCCGGTTGGTGGAAGCTTAAAATGGGCCCAGCCTGTCCTTAGCGAGATGCCGAAGGGTGTGCTTACAGGACGCCCTATAGACAACGACAGCCACACCGAAACTACGGTTGATGAGGATATCAAGTTAGAACGGGATGAGCCAGGTGTTCCAAGCTGCATGGCTGAACTGAAGTTTTCGCGGGATTATTTGGATGACGAACCTGATTTTGAATCCGAGAAAATAGAGACGTGGCAACTCGCCCCTAGATCCCGAGCAAATGTCGTGTTTATCCCGCCTTGCTGGTGTGAAGAGATGTATGAGGCAAGCGGACCCCCTGAACCAAGAATTCGAATAATCGATACAAGTGATGGCGATAACGATGCTTTTTCAAACACTACTGAGGGTAGAGGTATTGCGTCGCTTCGCAAGCTTCTCTCAGGCAAAAGTCAAGCTACAGAAGTCTTACAGCTCCGAACCACTGGGGATAAGGAAAGCTGGAGCGATGTTGTCATAACTTTAAAACAGTTGGACGAAACGGATAGAGTAAGGTTTGAATGCGACTCTGGGGAAAAATTTCATTTTGAGGAAACGCATTCTGTTAAATCTGTTAAACTGCCGTAACTGCTTTGCAGTAGTAAGCTAAGAGTCTTTTTGGCAGTAAACGAACGGTTCGACTTACGCTTTTCTTGTCAATAAAAAAGAATTAAATAAGAAATACTCTGCAATCATCTTTGTCCATTAACCATTAAAGCCACGAAATAAATAACGTACAAATTCTCTAGAATGATCTTCATACATTTCCTTAAAGAATAATCGAGAGAATTTGCTTCGAGATCAACAATTAACGCAGTTTACCTAAAGGAGATCATTTTATTAATTCTTACAGCCTTTTCTTTTTTTATACTGTTGACAAATTATTGATGTTGGTCACTCTTGCGACTTTTTTAAGGTTAAACCAAGAGAGCATAATAGGTCAGAAAGCGAATCTCAGGGCGTTGGCCGGGATATGTGAAATTCACTCAAGTTATTTTGAGAGGTTGTAATTTTACGGAAGTCTAATTCCTGAGACGTCCGCATTTTTGATTATTTGAAATGTCATCAAGTAGCCTCAAAGCAAACAATGCAGAATATTGTAAAATGCCGAAAGTTGAATTCTCTCTTGACAACATTGAATAAAAGTTTGCAGACCGATTAATTTCAAGCGTTTTATTGGTCTAAAAATAACTTGGGAGAAATTCTCAAATCCCAAGGGCTAGACTGGGCGTTTCCCACCCGGCGCCTTTATTCTCTTTCGGCTCAACAGAATTTGCGAGTTGTTATGGTAACTAACTATCATCAACTCGTCCTGGAGGGACGTAACAGGAACGATCAATGGACTTTATTCTCAGAGACGAAGCATAGAATACAATCTATACCTCCTTTAAACACCGCGGGTGATGTGTATAAATAAGTTACGATAACTATTTCTGAATATTAAATAATTTAGAAGCACAAGGCACAACCAACACTACTTCCGGCATGACATGATTGTTTTAAAAACTGCACAAAAAAAGGCTTACATTATTCAGCGTATGCAGATAACTACAAACTACCTTTTGTGATTTTCTCCACAAAAGACCACAGTTAAACCTGTATTAAGCGAACCTGTATTAAGGGGTCACTTATCAAAGTTCCGAAATCATTTCCCTCAATAACTATAAAACTGACCTGTATCAATCAGTCACCTCCCTCCTATAAAGCGTTACTTAATTAAGTCCCGGGAATCATTTCCCTTCATTACAGTAAACTGAACTGTATCAAGAGGTCACCTGCATTTAGCAGTCGAGGTCACCTTTTCTCAGCTCCGAACGAGATATTCTCGCTTTTACCTCTATTTAACGGTTACTTTGTCAAGAAGCACCATTGTAATGCAAAAGATTCACTGTGTATGACGTTTAGTGGTCTTTAACTTCCTTTCTTTTGGCACAAGGGATATTTAGCTTTGACCAAACGTGAGGTCAAGTTGGCTGGATATACGCCAAGTTTTATTTTTGCGTTCTTATGCACCCTTTGCGTTCTTTTTGAGTTCTTATGAGACGAAGTCGAGGTCAATAAAAACGCAAAAAAGAACGAGGCCAATATACACCCATCTTGACAGAACAAGCTTGGTCAATAAGAGATTTATTACATGGCCAAAAAGAACTTTTTCGTGCGGTCAAATACTACCAGAAATCAGTTGAAAAAAAGCAAAAAGAGGCATCTTAAGGCCTGTATTGTTTGAAGTCTTAATAACGCCAACTACCTTTCAGTAATCGGACGTTTGTTGGCATTTCCTGGACTATTGAAAAACTTTGTAAGTTTACGACTTTCTAAACCGCAACAATTTTGCGAAACAATTTTCTGACCGCTGTCTACAGGGTGTATCGCTCTTTCTGAACCTACGATGGGCTTCTCCTAAAACCAATAGATAAAATCATCATCATTATCATTCAAGAATCCTAACTAGAAATTTCATAGAAACTAGACAGACTACCTACAAACTTGATACATTCGACTACCGCATTAATGCTCATTTACCTGTCAAAAGAGGCAGTATTATTGATATAAAATATGTCAAGGCATTATTTCTAACGACATAGCAGTAAGTGCAATTAGTAAAGACACTTTAAGGCAGTCTCAAAAGTCTGCTTAAATTGGTCAGCAGTATCTTCTTTGAACGGAAGGTTTTGAGCCAGCTATCCTACCGACCAGCGGTAAAATGGTCAGGTGATCAAAACAGCTGATCATCATCATCGTCGTCTCCTTCCACGATAGCTTCCAGTTTCTTGACGATTCCCCCGAGCATCTTGTGCAGTTCCTCCTGATTACACTGCATTGTTTTCAAGCGGCTTTTCATAGTTTCCACAGTTTCTTGAAGTGCCTCAGTTCGATCGTTCAACTTTTCGAGAGATGACTAAACCGAAAATAAAACGAGCAAACAAGTTGAGAGAGGAACATTAATAACGTCACAAGTCTGACTGAAAACTAACCACTCCTGAAATGCCAGGAGCGAAGAACGCCTGGAGTCCTTTTTCTACAGTCTAGACACCTAACAGCTTAAAGAGTAAATGGCAGGGAATTGTTTAAGACTGTTTTTGGTCTTAAAATAGGTTTCAATAACACTTTCTTGAATTTTGGCCGTCCAAAAACTGTTTTTGCCCTTCCGAAAAGTCCCAGAGACTGGGAACGAGTAAAGGATCAAAGAAAGGCTGATGACCTCATGTGACGTCAGCTTATTTGCTCAGCCTTCGCTTTCGATTCTGGTCATTACTTTGTGTTTTGTGTATTTGACAGTAAGAAAGGTATAGCGAAGCAAACGAAGATTCTGAAGATGACTAGGGAGTTGTCGATAACGACAATCCTTCGCATTTGTCGCTATCTTGTTAATTATTCTACATTCTTGCAAATCACTCAACGTTATACCTGTTATTACTTGAATAGCGTTACTTTCCGTAATATACAAACCACAAACACTATACAACCCGTAATCCCTTGCGAAAGCGATCAAAAGAACTCTGCAATGCTTCTCAGGCCTACCTTGTTTGGTTTAAGAGCAGTTTTGACATCTTGCGCTGAGACGGGTGGCATATACCAGTAACGCTTAAACCCCGTGTACTGGTTTGGCCGAATGACTTCTCTATCCGGGAGAAGTCTCTTCCTGACTTTTCTCGGCAACGCTTTTTCTACGTCCATCGCTAGGTCAACCTTGAAGCAATCAAAAGGTAAGGTTATGATGCGATGAAAAGAATTGAGAGGCTACAACTGACCACGCAACAAATTGAGAGCAAAGAAAGTCGGTGGGCCGGGGTCACTACATTTTTAACCTGTGAATTTTCAGCCGTATATTAGCGATTGCAGCGGCCGCCGAAAATTAGAAGGATTTGTAGGCTGGGTCTAAAGTACAGGTCACATTCCACAGGTCAAGAGTACAGGTCACTGCTCCATCGCTAAATTACCAAGCCACACAGATTCCCCTCGATCTAATAGACCATTTGATCGTGGTAGAGACTCAAAAAATTCCTCGAGAGCGTTGAATTTCTCATCATCTCATCTAATCTCATTAAATTTTCGCCCAAAAAGTTAGGGGGCGGGGTACGGGTCCCCCTCTCCACTCATACGGCCCTGTGACAGGCCAACTAATGCAAAAGGCCCATTTATATGCTATCTTGAATGGTCAACGTTGTGAGCCTCCAGTGCATGCTTAGAAGAGGGCTGCAATTGCAATTAGACTGAAGCATACAAGTTGTTAGGCGCTCGCCTAATAGAGCGGTTTTCACTTGACTGCCGAACCAAAACCAAAGTAAATACACTAGCCAACCAAAGGGCGTAGTAAAACCAAAACCAAAACCAAAACCAATAACTTTCGACAGTCAAGTGAAAACCGCTCTAAGGAACCTAAGAGCGCTTACCATTAGTCATAACTGGGCGACCAGACCAGTCCACTCAAAAAGGGAATTTAATTATTAATCAGGACTGTCAGCCAGATCAGTCAACTCATGAAAGTCACGCAGTGATGAGTTTTTTCGCGAAAACTCCCGCGAAAAGCCCATTTCATTTCAAAACTGACAAATCCGGCCAGTCATGAAGAATTAAGAATCAAAGATCAAATTATCAACCGGACAGTCAACGAGACAAAGTACATACCAACATAGCTTGCCGCTCAAGGACTGCCTGGTCTTGGACACCTTTAATGTCATCTACAGCTAAACCGATCTACAGACAAAATGAATTAATAAGCATATTGAGGGTTCTAGTGCCATGAGAGTTGAAGCTTCGTCCACAGAGCTCTTATGCTCATATGTAATCCACAAAGACAATACAAAGATCTTTAATTATCCTGGCAAAGTGTGTTCGCTTCAACGAGTCGAGGTTCCTTTATATCATGGTTTTCTACCATATGTTTTACTATTGCTGGGGTGAAGAACATCGCATCGTTCGTTATACCAAAGACTTCGTGAGGTTTTACTGTATAATTAGCAAGCATCGAATGAGGTTGAGTATGATGTGAAGAATTATGGAGATCGAGGAGGCTGTTATCCACCGAGGTGAAGGCCGAGGTGGATAACAGCCTCGGGAATCTGCATAATTCTCCATATCTGTTGTTCAATCAACAAGCTTACCTCCTAGACTTTCTTCTAAGCTTTGGCCTATTTCTCGGCACGGTTTCAGGATATAAACAGATGTTTTTTTTTTCTTTCCGATACTCCTCATAAAGTAGATAACATTTATCGAGCAATATGTTTGCGTATTCTTCTTTTGCATTTCATCTGTTTAGTTTTCAGTTTTCGTCAGAAATTCATCTGCGGTCGCCGCGCCTGGAAACTAGGCTGATCGATGGTCTATTGTCCATTCCGCCTCGTTTCCAGGTAATCGATCAACCTCGTTTTCCAGTCAATATACCATCGAATAATATACCACTGATCGAATCTATGGTACATTGCTCGCTTTTTTCAAATTTGGTCAATGCTGGTTAGTTATGAGGGATTAGGCGGGGGCTTTGAGCCAATCAGAAACTGCGAAGTAGTTTGAGTGAATAATAACGAACGATACACTTCAGTAATAACAAAACATATGGAAAAGAACCTCGATCAGTATAACGAAACCTTGATATAGCGCAAACTACACGGTAAAATGGTCTATTTTCTTATTATCCTCAAATTGGCAACGACCGTTCACGAACTGGAAATCTTCGCCGGCGACGCAATCGAGAAGAACTGGTTCGCTCAGATTACATGACCCAAAAAACAAAAACATCAAAACAAAATGAGGCAAAAAAAAGGAACAAGTCAGACGAGAACAGAACAATAGACTGTCAGGGCTGTCATATCCTGCCTTCCCGGGGCCACTTCTTGCTAGTCTTGGGTAATGATTTAGTTAGAGGATGACAAGCTGGACTTGCCTTGCCCACTGGGCAATTAAGGTGAGTTTTAAAGTTACTTGCCCAAGCAGGAAAATCTACTTGTCCTGGACTAGTTGACAGGACATTTTTTGAGCCCTGTCAAGGCCTGTAATATGAACGTCCCCCAAAGTCAAAGACATTTAAACACAGTGACCATCCTTTGTAGAGCTTACTCCCTAGGTATCAAGAAACACCTTCGCGCCTTAGGAATAGAACCAGTGTTAGACCTCATATTAATACAGAACGCTTCAAAAGTAGCTTTTTTAATAGATTAATTTTTAAGTATAACTTAGCTATATTTTTCTGATGAATAAAGACAAAGCATAAAAAGTTAATGCATGTGAAATGAATGTCATAAAAAATCTTACCAACAAATTCATCAAGATGAGAGTCATGATAATCAAGAACACAATGAAAATAAACCATGTCACTCCAGGAACTTTCTGCTCCTGGTTCGGGTCCTGGTCCTGGTCCTGGTCCGGGCTGTTAAAAATATTGTCAAAATCAAACTCTCCGATCATCATAACTCCTGTTTTCACGATAGAACGGGCTGGATCTCGAAATGCCGGCTGAAAAAAAATATACATATAACAGATCGGCAGGAGATTATTTTGCAAAAGAAATGACTTGTTGCTTTGTTGTATAAAGAGCTTAATTGCATGATATGATCATGCTGCTTCTATGCAAGCTAGTTAATGAAATTTTGGAAAATTACAGCACTTTCCAACCCAGCACTCAATTGACTAAAAAGTTAGTATAACCCCTTCAGAAACTGCAAAACATAACAGACAAATACAAAATGCAAAAACGGGACATGGACGAGGTAAAGGTCAAAGTTAAAGGTAAAGCTTTGATTATAGTCAGGGGCACCCAACGAGAATATAGTTCAAAACCACTTAAACATAGCATTGTTAAACGTATTTTAGTATTTAAACGGTGGATATGGGCATATTTTTATCCCCTATAAATTTTTCATCTGTTCGGATTTCCTAGCTGAAAGTCTAGTGATCCGAAAATTATAGGGATCAAAACTTACCTTTTCGAAAATTTCAGCCAGAAAAAAGGCTCCTGAAAATTTTAGGTGACCTTTTTAGGGTAAAAATCCGTTGAAAATGGGCAATTTTACCATTTTTTAGATGTTCGAAAATCTTAGGAGAGACAGGCAAGCAAGAAATTTTACAACAAATGTTCCGAAAATTCTACATCTCAAATCGTCTTCCGAACAGATATTTTTCCGAAAATTGTCGTTGGGTGCCCCTGTATAGTGGAAGTGTACTTGGCGTTTCCAGCTAGTTAATAGGACCTCCACTCAAATAAACAGAAATAAATAATCTGAATGAATCAAAACATTTTTAAAAACCCAACCCCATCTGACAGGAATCAATCAGTTTTGCTATTTATAAGCTTGGCCGAGGAATTAAACTTGGGGCTACCTAGTCTGCTACACAGCCGTTTTTAGTGTCGTCACGCAACGCTCCTCCCCACTATCGGCTGCTGAAAATCGAACCACATTCCTTTCCCGCGATTAGCCAATTAGAATTCATCTTTTATGGGAGCATGCGCATTTATTGGTATCCAACACCTTGACGTATTCGTTTTCAAAAAAACTCGGTCCATCCTCACGGAGTGCAGAAAACGGCGTTTTAAAAATCTCGAATCTGCAGAACGTTTAGCCTGTTCCAAGCGTTCAGATAGTGGAGAGCGGTGCGAAGTAAAGAAAGCGATGAAAAGTAGAGGGGGACTGGGGAGAGAAGTGCGTTCCTTCTCTCACCTCTCCTCCTCCCTCGCTTTTATTTTTTCGCGCTCCTTTTTACTTCGCACCGCTCCCCACTATCTGAACGCCTGGAACAGGCTACAGAACGTTTTAAAAAAGATGTGTTTTCGAGATCATTTGATTAATACTCGTAACCAGTTCTCTTGACAACGTATTGTTAGGAGAAAATTGATGTTGGTCACCATTGGGACTTAAAAGGGTTAAGAACGGTAGGCCAAACCGGAGGAAATATCTCCGTTTTCAGTGGCGGATCCAGGGGAGGGGCCCGGGGGACCCGCCCCACCCACAC